TGCTAGTGTAGACTGTGAGCCGGAGGCATGTGCTAGTGTAGACTGTGAGCCAGAGGCATGTGCTAGCTCATTCATTCTTACTTTACCTAGAACTCAGTGTGGTGGTTTGGATAAAAATGTTCCCCATAGGTTTCATTATTTGAACTCTTGGTCCTCAGTGCATGGTGCTGTTTGTGGAAGTTGTGGAACTTTTTGAGGTATAGCCTTACTGGAGGAGGTCCATCACTGGGGGAGGGTTTTAAGGGTTTGTAGCCTCACCCCACTTCCTTTTTTTTTTTTTTTTTGGCTTCTTGTGTACGGTTGAAATATAATCTCTCAGCTTCCTGTCCCTGCGGCCATGTCTTCCCCACCATTACAGACACTCTTTGGAATTGTAAGCCAAAATGGACTCTTTCTTAAGTTGCTTTGGTCATGATATTTTATCACAGCAACAGAAAAGTAATCAATAAAATCATATATGGCTTAATAAAGGCATATAAAACTTTAGCGAGGGAGCAGTCCTGCTTACATATGTGTGGAAGTAGGCCAGAGGATAGCAGGTGTGCTGAGCAGTTGGGGAACTTCCTGTAGAGGGTGGCAGCCCTGTGCTTGCTGCAGCTTTTATGATGTGTACATGCGTGGTTTAGAGGGGCAGACCTTAGCTTTTATCAGATGACAAAGTGATCTAGTAACTGGTATAAACGAGGTGATTGTGGCTTCGTTGACTGCTTGTGATTTCTTGGCTGTCCCACCCCCACCCCAGACCCCTTAACTTGTGCTCAATAACAGAACGCAGAAAATTTTACTTTCAGTGAGCCTTGCTTTATCACTTGCAAATTTATTGTTACTTACTTTATTAAAACAGAATACTTCTGTGAAATTGTTAATTGGCAATAACTGTCTCGGTCTTTATTGATCTTGTATGTTTTCCCATCTCAACCAACAGAGCCTTACATATCTTTGTTACAGTGACCCTGAAACTGATGATTACATAAATTTCTATTAACTTATGAAGTAAATGTGTAAATACCCTTAAAATAGTTATCCTTTTACTATGTTGTTGGGAAAAATGTATTTTTGCTACTTTGAGGCTTTCTGTGTTTTTATAGTGTGAGAATGTGCAAATAATCTTTAAATTATTTTAAGAAAATTTAAAATGTCTGTTTATTATCATTCTCATGTGTGTATGCTTGCATGTGGACATAGAAGGACAACTTCCTAGGAACAGATGCTCTTCTTCCACCTGTTAAAAGCTCTGTTATTTCTGCACATGGTTCAGGGTGAGTCTCAGGTCTTCATGGCACCACCATTTTGCCCTAAGAGTGCTGGGATTACAGATGTGAGGCATTCAGTTTTTGTGGCTCTGGGCTTGGAACTCCAGCCATTGGGTTTCCACAGCAAGCCTTTTACCTGCTGAGCCATCTTGCTGGCACTAAATTATTCTTCAGTGCTAAAACCTTGTTTTATAAGACAAAGTCTTGGGCCATTTTGATCATCAGATTACAGGAATCTTTGTTCAGCTAACAGCTGTAGTGACACACAGTGACCAACTTAATTTGGATACATGATTTCTCTGTGTTTTCTCTGCAGGAATGGGCTGCTTCTGGGGAGCTGAGCGCAAGTTCTGGCTCTTAAAAGGAGTGTATTCAACCCAAGTGGGTTTTGCAGGAGGCTACACACGCAATCCTACTTACAAAGAGGTCTGCTCAGGTAAGGACAGAGGTTCAGTCACTGGAAGAACAAGGGGGCTCATCTCTACTAATTGTGACAAGATCTTTGAAATAGAAAGTACATATATTTAAGAATAGGTACTTAAAAAAAAAGAATATGTACTGTCTCCATATTTTTTTAACCAATCCTGTAAATATGCCTCTTTGCTTCTCATGTTATATCTGTAGGATGATGAACTTACCTTGGAATGGATTTTATTTTATTTTTTGCTGTGGAAAAAAAATCACATAACACTTGGTTGATTAGAGTAATTGTGCATTTAGCTTAGCAAGTTGGGCTTGGGCTCAGATTGGCAGATCTTTGTTGAGGCTCTCTTGGGTCACTTATAGGACCATGGTCACCTGGTGGGAAGTTCAAGGAGCAGCTGTTGTTAGATGACCTCTTGTGGCAGTCAAGACTGGCTCCTGGTCAGTACTCACTGAGAAATAGGGTTGTCTCAGACAGGTGTGAGCTAATACAAATGCTAGTGTGTGAAGACCTGGAAACAGCAAGTGCATGAGCCCTGTTCTCCATTGTACTCGTTTAATATTGCCCTACTGACTAAACTGGGGCACACAGTCTAGCCTAGACAGTGCCCCTGACTCCAACACAGGGATACAGGGAGGTGTGAAGAAATCAAGACCGCTGCTACAGTGGTTTCCATATGCCTCAGATATCTCCTGCAGTAGACGTACTCTGGGGAGATCATGAGAAGCCATGCTGTGATACAGGGATCTGTCAATTATCACTTCCTGCCTGTCTATAAATAAAAGTTTTCTAAAGCACATTTGTATTAGTATTAGTCAGGTTCTCTAAAAGAACAGAACTGATAGAAAGACTATGTATCTTAAAAGGGAATTATTAGATTGTCTTATACAGTGAGAGTGGCCCAACAATAGATGTCTCACAGTGGAGAGGTGGAGAGTCTGGTACGAGGCTCATGTCTCCACAGTCCCAATCTGGTGTTGAGGACCTTGCGGATTCCTGGAGAGCTGCTGATCTTCAGTCTATGCTGGAATCCTGAGCAAGTTGTTTCCTTCTCCTTTTATCTGGGCTGCCACCAGAAGGTGCTGCCCAGGTAAGGCAAGCTTTACTGCTTCAAATAATTTGACCAAGAAAGTCCCTCACAGGACTACCCAGAAGCTTTTGTTTTTCTTGATTCCAGATGTAGTCAGGTTGACAACCAAGATTGGGCATCACAATAGCAATGTTCATTGCTTTTCTTTTCTGTAGTGTTAATGAACATGTTAGTACCTGAACAGCTAGAGTATGTGGTTCAGCAAGTGCTGTGTGGACTGCAAAGCAGGAAGCACTTATTGTCTAGCCCTTTGCAGAGAAGTACTGAATGCTGATGTGCGAGAACTCAGGAAGATGCAGGTTCCAACCCAGTGCCAGTTCCTGTGGGGTTTGGTTTCTGTCATTCAACAGCTCCCTTGTTTTCCTGCTGCCTAACATTGTATGGTAGCTCTTTTGGCTAGCCTGGAACTCACTTGATGTAGACCATGCTGGCCTCCAACTCACCGAGATCCACTTGCCTCTGTCTCCTAAGTGTTGAAATGAAGGTGTGTGCCATCATGTCTGCCTCCATCCATCTATTCTTGGTACTATTGCAGCAGAGCCTGTTATGTTTTCACCAGAACTTGTTTCTTTTTCTACCTGGGAGCAGGTTAGTATCATTTCTCCCAGTGTCTCTGGGATGTTGATGAGACTTGTGACCATCACAAAGCAAGACACAGTGGTAATCAGTGATAGTCTTCCTTCCAGGGACCTCTGTGAGCACTCAAGTGCACATGCCCACATACAGACAGATATGTATACACACAATTAGAGGTAATAAAAACAAATCTTTTTTAGGAAGAAAAGAAAAAGAGACAGGAGGCTGTAGCTGAGTAGTGGAGCACCTACCTGGGGTGTGTTAGGCCCTGAGTTCAACCCTCAGGACCGAGAAAGCATATTGTCACCCTGAAAGGTCTTTCTTAGGAAGAGACCTGTGTTCTTAGTAATATTTAAAAACATAGCTGGGCCTGCTGGTACAGCCCTGTACTACCCATTAAGAAAGCTAAGGTAGGAGAATTACAAATTCAAGACCTACCTATAGAGTGAATTCAAGGCCAGCTTAGGCTACTTAGCAAGAGCTTGTCTAAAAATAAAGGAAAAAAAAAAGAAGAAGAATGGGATACATCTCAGTGGCTTGCCTAATGTGTGCGAGGTTTTTGATTCAATCCCCAGAACTACATAGAAAAAATAAAATAAATAAAATGATGCTCTAAATATGTGAATACTTTTATCAAGATAAAAGCTTGAGGGTCAGGTGTGCCTATAATTCTAGCACTTGGGAAGCTGAGGCAGACGGATCATGAATAAAAGGCCAGCTTGGGCTATGTAGGTTTAAGCAGCCTGGACCTTGTAGTGAGACCCTGTTACAAAAAATGAAAAATTTAAAAAATGGAAGGAGAAAAAAGCAAGAGCTTTGAGATCATTACTTATAGAAAATCGCTGGGAATCATGGGCTCCTGAGGGAGAAGGGAGGGACCTTGTTGAAAAATAGCCATGCTGATTTGTTGGTAAAAGTATGAATTTTTCTTTTGTGTGTCACTGCATCAATGAAGGTGCTATAAGAACATTTGTTCTTGTTTTTCCTGCTCATAGAAAGAATTGAATACTCCAGCATTAGGAATGTGGGAAATGGAATACATTCTTCAGTGGTTAGTCCATATGTATTTTTGCTTCTGTTTCAAAATTAAAGATGCTTATGTACAGCTATCCTTAGAGATGCCAGTGGGCCCTGGATCTCCCAGGTTTACTCTCTCAGGCCTCAGGAATGGAAATGAATAGGTGCCCTCCCATAGTTCTAGACATGGATTAACAGCTCAGGAGGAAAAGGTTGCTAAGAGAAACCACAAGCCCTAGGGAGATGGGCCACTGGGTGAAGTTCCTTGCTCACAAGCTAGATGACTTGAGTTTGAATCTTTAAAACACATGTAAAAGCATCTAAAATCCCAGCATCCCTTACCTGGAAATGGGAGGTGGAGACAAGAGAATTCATGGAAGCTAGTGGTTGAGCTAACTGGGCCTAGGAAGCAGTGAAGAAAGTTCTGTCTCAAACAAGGTGAAAAGGTGAGAACCAGTACCTCAAGCTTGTCCCCTGACCTCTATATGCACAGCATGGTATGCCGGCAAATACCCACACACAGGCACACACATGTGCACACACACACACAAGCTCACACATATGCATGCACACATGCACAAATGAATAAAGAAATCCCCTAAATACCTGCTTTCCATACTGTTCCCCTTACTCTGCAAAGGCCAAAAACCAGTTCTGATACTGTAATTACTTGTTTATGTAGTTATGGGTTCCTTTCTGTTCCCCTCTGCCTCACTGACAATATGATTGTCGTGTGAATTTCTACTGCATGCTAAGTACTATAATAAGTATTTAAGTCTTTGTTTTTTCTCATGTGATCCCACATGGCATCCCAGTATGTCCTTTACAGAGGTATTGTTGAGGCTCAGAGAATTCATGTGACTTACCTTCTATCTTAGTTGCTTTCCACTTAACTTTACGCCATTGACCTTGATGTAAGTGTCCCAGCTGTTGCTACAGCTTGGTTGTCCTTCAATCAGCCATTCATTCGTCCTTCCTCTTTCAGATCTATTCATTGGCTGAACTTTAAAATACATGGCTGTGTTTCTAAATGACTCCTGTGTGAGAAGTAAAGAAGGATTTGCGTTGTCCTACAGATGTTTGGATTTGGAAGTGAAAAAGGTCCAATTCCTGTATGATTCAGTCCATGCAACAGCTCGCATCAGGCTGCAGCACTGGGTGAAAATGGGATTCAAGGGGTTGAGTGGTGATGGGATGGTGCAGAGCTGTCCATTCCATCCTAACAGGACTGCCAACTTAGGGCACAACAAGAGACATGGTTGTTATGGAAACTGATTCCTGACTACAAAGAGATGATGTTGGATTTTACCCAGACACAGAAGAAAAGGTGATTTGGGTGGAGGGGGGTGTCTGGAATGTGTTTTTTTCTGATTGTAAAAGGTACCTTTGCCTAGGACTGATGGAACCCTCAAATCCCTGAAAGTAGTAGGGAAGAGAACATACATCCACTTAGGGAGATAGAGGGAACAAACCAGTTGGAGTCACTTATCTAGACTTCCCTCTGAAGCCCCCAGTGCTTCCAGATGGCAGGCAGCAGAAATGCAAGGCAGAATTCTGATAAGGCACACACGAGAGACAACAGCTGAGGAAGGAGGAAGGAGGTGACTCCACAGAGACACAGAGCAATGTCTCTTTTCTATTGCCGTGACAAAACATGGTGACCCAGGCAACTTAGAAAGTATTTAATTGAGCTCATGGTTTCATAAGATTAGAGTTCAAGGTGGTGGAACAAAGGCCTGGCAGCATGGACAGTTGAGAGCTCACATCTTAGTCTAAAGTAGGAAGCAGAGAAGCACATTGGAAATGGCAGGAATCTTTAGAAACTTCAAAGCCTGTCCCCAGTGACACACCTCCAACAAAGTCACACTTTCCTAATCTTTTCCAAACAATTTCAGTAACTGGGAACAGGTATTCAACTATATGAGCCTATAGGTAGATGCTTCTCATTCAAACCACCACAGGTAGGGATGACTGTGGCATCCAAACAGGACTCTTAGGAGTGGGTTCAGTGATGGGTTTGGTGCATACCAAGCTATCCTCATCCCTGCATGTGACCTGAGCCTTATGCTATACAAGTTACATGGTCCTGATATTTCTTTCAGTATTTTAACTAGTGCAGTACCTTGGGAAAGGAAGAAAACGATGCCCGTGTTGTGGTAATGGAGCAGCCATCACTTGGGTTGGGGGAGATCAGCTTCACACTTGCTGGACACGGACCAACAGCTGGCCAACCTTGACTGCATAAGCCCAGGACCCAGCAAGAGGTTGATGAGCCTGCAGTCCACTAGGGGACCGGTCTGTTGACACCTCTAGAGTGCTCTAGGCAGAC